CAATCTTTGGTGAATGACGAAACAGCTTTAGACCATTGGACAAAATTGGAACCAATGAGTTTATGAGTCGTAATCACAAAATTCATGTGGTTTTTAGGTTCTCCAGTCCGCAGATGGATTGAGGTAGATGTCGATACTTCGGTGGACTTAAGAACAACGTCAGACGGAAGCTCGATGGTGGAGGAATCAGCCATGGCTCAGATGGCGCCAAAGGAGAGGTTTGAATGCCAAGACATGGAAAGAGTTGATTCCTTACATGGATAACAACAAACAAGGTCTGCAAGGAAGGATTATTTTCAGCAGGCATGAGGGATATCCGGTCAAGTAGGATGAAGATCCGACTATAGAAAAGAAGTCTAGCGGCAGGAGGTCAGGACCCTGGCCTAGGAAGGCCTATAGGGAGTCAAGGAGTTCGACTGCTAGGGACATTCGGCAACTGAAAAAGGATCTCAGCAGCAATAAACCAGAAGGGGAAGCTTCCGACGGCTGGGGAAGGACCTCAGCGACTAGGGTAAGATCCTGGTGCCTTGATAACATGTACAATTTAAGAATTGAGCAGGATAACTTTATTAATATGAAATGGGGAATAAATGCATGTTCATGAATTCTAAAATACCCATATCTCCAAGATTATAATTAATCAGTTTCTAATAACTATTCAGAGATAAAAGGAAAGACATAACACCCATAGCTCCAAGATTACAATTAATCAATTTCTAATAATTACCCAGAGATATAATGAAAGATATAAAATATGAAATTCATAAAATAGAAAATAAACATAAAGGTTATAAATCAATAATAATAACTTCTCGCCTTTGAATTCTCTACATGCTTAAGAATGCTTCCAGACTTGCTACAAGAAATAAGCAGCTCCTCGAGCCTTCTTATGTTGTTCAAAAATTAGCTTTGGGCTCTCTACAATTTCTCCTCTAAGAAAGCTACTCATGCACTCGTAACTTCATTTCAATTCAATATGAAAGTCGAGGACTACATGGCTCAATAAATTTTCCCCCAAAGTAGATGAACTCAGATTGATGAGTTTTAGTACATGCACTCTAACAAGAATAACTCCAAGGAGTGATACAATTAAAAGCATTACAAAAGTACCCTCGTGTCTTTGACGTGCTACTCTAATAGAGCTAAAGTTCATGAGCAATTGATGGTTATTTCATGCCTTTAAGCAACAGTTATGTTTAGCTCCTCTAAATTACAAATTGCCACACTGTGCACATTTGAACCATTCAATAAAGTGTGTAGTGAAAGTCCTCTACTAGAGAATGAGTCGAAGTTTAACTTGAGATTGCATTTCACCCACCTCCACCCTAGCCTACTTCACATATTGAGAGGAGAAAACTTATATTTGTTAAACAAGCTCTTTTAACATTATGATTCAAAACACTAACATTAGCATACTATGTCTGCCGATAAATCTAGGATAAATGAAACAATAAGTACTTCATCAAAGTTGCATTTATTTCTACAACCATCTCTCCCTCAATCAACTTAAAAACTAGACATCCTGAATAAAGTGATCTCCTTAATCAAGAGTTCCTTGTTGTATATAAAAAGGATGATTAGTTATATGGGCTCGCATTCAAAAAAATTCTTTACCCGGGTCTATATAAGTCTTGAGTCTATTTTAGACAATCTTGTTAAATCAAATTGTCTTTTAAAACTATAATCAATGCTTAAAATTAAAACTATTTATTGACGAAAATCAACTCACTTCACAACCATACAATCCTAGTCCAATCTATTATATTCAATGTTAGTAGTTGTGCATAAGAAAAACTGATAAATAATAAATTAGATTTCTTAAAAAAGTCAAAAAAAAATATCTTCTAAAAAATCCTCACTTGTAATATCATTAGCTTCAATAGTTATTATATCAAACATCAATACTATTTTGGTTCATGTTTAAAGAGATTGTGGACTAAATCAAGTACTTTACATAGTTTAGGACTAAAATGGCTTCAAATAGATTACTTTTTCTTTTAGTGGGAAGGGAGAGATGAGGGGTAGTGATTTTTCTATCCTACTCACCAGCTTTATAAGCTCAAAAAAAAAAAA